TAGCGAATGCGACACTTCTACACTTCAGAAGACGATTATAGACAGTAAAGTGAATCACAACAAATTCTTTTAATATTTACTTTATATTCTAAGAGAATTTTTTTCCCATACGCGTCTGCAAGTAGAGTTGTTCATTATGTTAAGTGCCTTGCAATTAGTAGTATCTGCTAATTTGTATCTGGGAAGATTTGACTGCGCTAAGTTACTAGAATTAACATCTTCTAAGCTACATTTATTTTATGCGATATCAAACAAATATATATAGCGCAAGAATGAGTTTTAAATAAAGAAACTTCCGATTCTCACTTATGAATGAAGTCTTTTCAATCTGATCTTGTGCTTCTTGATAATTTTTCCTTATATGTCCTATATATTACGTACTTGATTTAATATCAACCATCTCGATACAACACTATTATGCAGGACATCATATGCGACAGGTCAATCAATGGAAACGTTCGTCAGTTGGGGATCATCTATCTCAAGAATGGTGTCGACAAGTATTGGCGTAAAACTGCCTCGCAGTACGTGATTCGTAATAAAGTCTTCATTTACTACATGCTAATATATGCTCTTACTGACTTTGTGGGGTTTATGCTAGTGCCATTAGCCCTGATGAAAAGGCAAAAATAAGGAGCCAGTTATTGACTTTGATGGACGAGGAGCAGAAAATGGTGAGTATTGACGGGACTGCCAGTAAACGCTCGTTAAAATTGTGACTCAACCTCCAAATATCTCGCCTTTCAGCTGGCAACCCAGAATGCCCTCGTTATCGCTAAAGTTGCACGTTTCGATTATCCAAATGATTGGTGGGTACAGACTAGTGATATGTTTATTCATTACTTATCTGCATTTTTGTATCCAGACAATACCGATAACCGTAGAATAACTGTCACTCTATATCGAACGAAAAGGCCAGATCTTCTGCAAAGTCTTCTTAATGTTATTCATACCACTATGACAGCTGCAAGTGATCCGCATTCGCGGCTCCTCCAGAAGCGATCATTATTGACTTTGCACCAAGTAGTGAAAGCTCTCTGCTCTAGAACGCTTGCTTCAAATCGTAAAATGTTAGAGGAGGTAGGTAATTATATCTTTTTGATTATTATACGGGATGTTTATTAATAGCATCGTTGTTTCATTTGTCAAGATATCCCCAGAGTTACTTCGTAATGTTGCGAGTATTTATGTGGAGCATACAAATAGGTTCTTTGCTATGACGTCGAACACTTCTAATTCCATGGATCAAATGGCTGGAGAGTTGGAAGTTTCTATCTTGTGTCTGAAATCCATCAGACGTTTAATTGCGCATGGGTTCTCAGATTTCAGTAAAGTCGAAGAGACAAAGGTAAAACTATGCAAATTAGCTATTTTTCTATCGATAACTCCCGCGTCTAAAAAGCATTTCTTTGTTTTTGTATTTTTAGACCTTTTTTATACTGGGTTTGCAGCATTTGCAGAAATTCTACAATCTGAGTGCGCATTTGATTTGTAATTACTGTCAATCAAACAGCGTTTTTACCCAGAATTCACATTTATTTTATGTACAGGAAAAACAATTCAGGATACTTTGCTTCCCGTATTCGAACTAATAGACTCTCACATCAAAATGTTCGGCAAGATGTATATTGATCTCCAACGACTACAGCCCATCTCATTTTCGTTGACACCGGGTGCAGTGGAGATTGTTCAATATTACTGGCAGATAATTGTTACTGATGGTGTATCTTATGATTCTGGTAAGTTTGATTTCGGCATAATGTCCATTAGCAATATACTTGTCCCCGTTGAAAGCCTTGTTTTTTTTAAAACGAACAGAAAAAAAAAATATTTATGTCTGACTTCTATTAAGAACCGCCAACCCAACCACCGGGTCTTGAAAAGGTCGTGGTCCAAGGCTTATTACTACTCAAAGGTGTTATACGAAAGCATACTTATGGGGAGGCGAATCCCCGAGGCTTTCTCGAAAAGCTTGAGGCTGTTGAGAGGTCGACTTCGTCACGATTGGCTCAAGCACTCTCTGTAGTTGAGGGTCAGCTATTAACACCTGAATTTGTTAATTCGATCACTGAAAATATAATTTCGAAATTTTTGATTCTGAGAAACGAAGATTTAAATATGTGGGAAGATGATCCAGAAGGATGGATTAATTATGATGAAACCGATCATTGGGAATATCATGTGCGGGTCGGTAGTAATCAATGAGACGGAAGAGAGTTTGAGCGATTTCGAATTGTACGATTAACTATTGGCGATTTTATTGTTAATTAATATAGCCGTGCGCGGAAAGAGTGGCTATGGAATTATTTGCTCAGTTTCGTGCAGCACTATCACCGCTGATCTTAAAATTACTAGAGAGTGCGGCTTGTATGTCTTACTGAATATATAATCTGCACATAGTATATCTAATACCATATATTAACCCATAAATTTCTTGCGCATGTAGCTGCTTCCGATCCATCAAGTTTATTATTGAAAGATGCAGTGTATTCTGCAGTGGGTCTTGGCGCCCATGAACTATACGACGCTCTGGATTTTGACTCTCTGCTTGTCAATCATCTAGTAATGGAAGCTGTAAATGCGGATCAGAGGTATGATGATAATTAGTACGCACTAGTTTTATTCGAACGCGGATCTAAATATGGATATATTCTTTCATCAGTTTTAAAATTATTCGCCGTCGCATAGCGTGGTTGATAGGTCATTGGGTCAGCGTGAAAATCTCAAAGGACGTAAGACCAAAAGTATATGAAGTTATGCTGCATCTAATGCGTCCAAACGAGGACTTAGTAGTTCGACTGACATCAGCAATCCAGCTCGCAAATTATATCCTTTCATGTTCCGATTTAGTCACAAGCGTGTTATAAGTTTCACGAATACGAATTGAACTTAACTTAGCTTTTGATGTACACGTGTAGATGAGTGGGATTTTGAGGCTGATCAATTTGCACCATATCTCGACCGTTCCATTGCATTACTTTCGCAGCTCATTGGCGGAGTTGAACATTTCGAGACTAGGGTTAAGATTCTGAACACTTTGTCACTAATAGTAGAGCGAATGGAGGATCAGGTAAACTGAGCGATGAACTCTAACATACTGGTTTCTTCTTCTTCTTTTCTTAACATTGGCATTCTTTGACACCACAGATAGCACCGTATGCGCAAAGAATCGCAAGTTTGTTGCCACCTTTGTGGGAAGCTGCAGTAGACGAGCATTTATTCAAACCAGCTATTCTAGTGACACTGACAAAACTAGTTGGAGTAAGTTCAGTTTCTATACGTACTCTAGTATCTAGTGATATTTTGTAAATCTAATATTGTATCACTGTTGTTAAACCTGCAGTCGTTAAAAGAACAATCAGAGAATCTTCATGAGCTTATCGTACTGCTCGTTAACTATAGCGTTAATCCCAATTCGGTATTTTTTGACGATTCTGTTCTTGCTTGTCTGTTGTTGATATTTACAATTGTTGTTTATTTTTGGCTAGGAAGAACATGTATATTTACTGGATGATGCCCTAGATCTTTGGTATGTAACTGTCCAATGCGCACCAAATTCCACACCCTTGCTCCTTAGTCTTGTTCCTGCTTCTGTGGCTTTGTTGGAGTTTGGCTCCGATTCTTTGAAAAAAGTGCTCAAAATACTTGAGAGCTACCTCGTAATGGCTCCAGAAATGGTTATGCAGGTATAGCTTTTCGATACACAATTTATAAATGATGTAGCTTCTAATACTAAATTCAGTTTACATAATATTACGCGCAGTCATTTGCGCATCAAATAATGGATGCTTTTACCCGACTACTTGGAGATCTAAAACCTCAGGCATGTTCGGCTATCATTCAACTAATAGAGGTTATCCTTCAGTCATGTCCAATACAATTATGTGAGGAACATCTGATGAATACGGGATTACTTTGGAAATTGCTAAGCACAATTCTTGCGCAAGAGGTATGACGTATTATAAAACAAAAGTGACACATATTTCTTTCTTGCTAACGTTCTATGCGTTAACATAATATGTAGGAGCAATACTATATATTGGTCAATTATCTCAAAGTCTTTGCGAGGATTGTGATCAGTGATCCAGTATTTTTCCTACGCTTTGTCGAAATATCCGGACAACAGAGTAACCCACCACGAACAGATCTGTTAGATGAACTATTTGGTTTCTGGTTAGATTTGGTAGTTGTATAAATAAAATCGTTGTCTACACCGTGATTGGTCGAATGATCACTCTAAATACAATATTTATAGTTTGATAATGTAGGTCACGCGAAAGATCGTAAACTGCATGCTATGGCTTTCACTGCACTCTTAGCAACGTCGAATTCTGTTATTCTGAATCGACTATCACAAATAATGGGGGTTTGGAGTGATGTGTTGAGTGAAGTGAGAGAGAATGGAGGTGGAGAGTAAGTCCATTTTATTTTTCAGTTTTACATGGAGCATCTCCTAAATAGCTTTATCTTACTATTGTTATATGTTATGGGTCAAGTGCGCTTATATACTGGAGAGAAGAGTCAAAAAATGACGATGATGAATCTGCCGATAGCAAAAGGAAACGAATGGTAATGAATTCAGTACTTTTCATTTTGGCAAAGCTTAATGCATCAAATGCTCATACAATAAATTTTATTGTTCAGTTGCTCCAAAGGGATCCTATCCATACAACCAATTTCATTCAGTACATCCAAATGAAATTCTCAGAAAGTGAACAACTTAATGGTGGCGCCGAAACCTTCCAAAGAGAGTATGTCTCTAGAGTTGACAGTACTTTATTAGATCAGGTTAATAGTTTGATGAGAATTTGAAATGATTATGGCACAGGAGAGATAAGCCGACTTCCCATTATAATAGCTCCTCCTCTTAATTAAGGACTTATTCTTATAATATTCAAATCGCCTAATTTGTCTATTCCCACTAACAATTGGCTTCATCCAAGTATTCTCATTTCCATCCCCAATAAATTATTGGCAAACACAAGAAATTCCCAGCTTGTCTATTTCTTGTCCTTCTTTCCAGCACTAGCCTTCGTTTTCTGTGTACCACGGACTTTCTTTGCACGATTTTTCCTTTCCTTGCGTTGTTTACGAGCTGTCTTGATAGCTTCAGCAAGACCATGCTAAATTTTCATAATAAGAAAGAACATAAAGTACAAACTTTTCATAAGTAAACACGAGCTATGTGCATGGAGTGTTTTGGTTAATCGGATATACCATACTAAGATCCGATTTCGCTCCAAAGACACGAATCATTCTTTAATTCGTGGGTTCAAGACCTCTACCCGCACGGATTTGAAATTTTTAACACATTACCCTGACTAAGCGATATTTCGGTTCAAATTTCTTTGCAGCCTCCAAAGAGTCATAGATCAGCCCAAATCCTGTCATGCGACCACCGCCAAAAGCAATCCGGAAGCCAAACACAAAGATGACATCTTTGTCTACTTTATACATTTTCGCCAATTTCTCTCTTATAACTTCTTTAGATACGCTAGCACCAAACGATTGTACATCAACTATCATTTGCTTTCGCTGAAGCAAGCGGTTTGTGAGGAATTTACGGGTTCGAACCGTTATCGTTGTTGCTTGGTCAGCCTGGCATTGAGAGAAACAGAATCAGCAATCGGAAATGCATCTATAAAAAATTAAATCATCCATCGCGAAAATATGTAGAATAACTGACCATATCGAGTATTGGTGATCGCTTCTGTCCGATATGTACGTTAAACCGGAAGAAGATGGGAAGAGGAAGAAAGGTATTGAAATTTTTCAAAGTCTAATATTTTGGAATCAGGTGACACGTGAGTGGGAATTACATTTCGTATCCGTGTAACTTCAATTCTCGCGAATTTTTTTAATATTCCCATTTTAATTAGTAATGCCATGCTGGAAGACATTCTAACACTAACAGGTTTTAAATAAGGACGCTGGAAATGCAGGATAGTTATATGCTTCTTATATACACGATCAATTATCGCAGCCAGAATATATAGTGTTGCTGAGAACTAGCGGTAAAGCCTTCAATGCGTAAATGTCGTTGGAATACGTTATGAGACAGGAAATGAGCAGAGTTTAGTGCGCTTTGCCTCTGATCCTATCAAAGTCTAAACTAAGTGGAAATTCTATAATTACTACGGATTGTAGATGAAAACGATCACTTGAGCACGTCAATTTTTAAAGTGAATGTTCTCTATTTTGCATGTAAAAATGATTGTCTATATAAATTTAAAAGCTCCACACTAACAAAAGTTTGCTTTGAAAATTAGCTATTACAAAGACTTTCCTACATCATATGTTAATAGAAGCCAAGCGTTATCTTCGAAACCGTGAGTCGAATAACATACAGAAAGCATAAAATTTCTACCAGACTATAAATATGCCAATCTTAATTCATGAATCGCATTGCTTTCCACATTACTACTCGCCAATGCATGCCAAACCCATTATTTCCCCGCCATTACTCGATCCTGCTCATTTGCTCTCTCACACAATCCTTAAGATATTTTAGCCTCTCAATCCAATTCTGTTATTCTCGGGCCAACCCTTCTCTGTAATTTCATTGTCCTCTAATTGATCTTGCGCACTGACCACTCGTAAGATTGACTTTTTGCTTGATTCTTGCATCTCGCCCGCGATGATCAGTTCGTCCAAGATGAAGTACGCCTATGCAGAATACGTTAATTAGCCACTTAACCCACTGCGGAACAAGGGACAAATGACAGCAAGGATTATCGTAAATACCTTTTGGAAATTGAAGATTAAATCTAACTCGCATACCTAGCGATAGAACAAGCTTATATTATTGAAAGCAAACGATGAAACTATCCTTGTCCTGATAAGACTTACGTTCCCAAAATATCGGTCTAACACTTCGACATATCGGTGAATAATTTCCAGTGTTATAAGTTCATTATCATCTGCGGAGATTCCGACTACAAAAAATAACGAAGCATATCTTATAGGCGTATAAAATATAACGATCTCGTTGAGACTTCGGTGATGGATCATAACATATTAAGGAATGCAATAACAAGACGTACTACCTTCGGTAAACTATCTTCTCGTCTGATTAAATTGATTCGGATAATCAAGTAGTAATTAGCATCTATTCGTCATTCATTCAATCGTATAAAAATGTTCTCTGCAATACCCTCTCCCCTATTACCTTTATATTCTAGAAAATTACACATCTTCGTTCTTCTCGCAAGCACCATTGTCGTAACTTCTTTTACAATCTTTGTTTTCTCTTTGGGTGATAGTGTATTAAACCATTTTGCAAGTCTGACTTTGCCTTGCCGAGATATCAGTAAAACATACTGCATCTACCGAGAATGGATAGGTTACAGTTAATATTGCATAAAATTATGTGTATATTATAGTATATAATATTCAAGTTACGTACTCCCATTATGTGTATCTGTTGAGAATTGATGAGAATGCAAATTAGTTGACTGTAACAAGAGAATGATTTCAGCTGTGGTGTTTGTGTTACTGAAAGAACTATATTTAGCCATTCAAGTTGGATCTACAGTATATATACCTTTACCCATGCCTCACAAGCGTAAGAAAGTAGCAGAAAGACTTGCCCGGCGGAGGTTCTGCTCTATCGAATTACCTTGATTTAATCTGCACATAAGTTTTGCTAATTGCTTATGATTGCATATTTGCAGCTATGACGAGGATCCTAATAAGAACAAGACATCAGACACTCCAAAACGGTTTGAACGACTACTCGAATTTAAAGGAAGAGTCGAACAAGGGACAAAAAGAAAGAGGCTGTCGTCGCAAGAAGAGCCTAATAAGAAGCGTGTAAGTACAAGCATTAAGTTCGTTTCGTCACACATTGTGGAAACTTATTTGGATACGGAAATTCTTTAAGAAAGCTATTCAAAGGCTACCAGATGAACGTTTAAAAAACTATAATAGGCAAGTTTACTGTGGTCCATAGTCTTATGGTGACGACAAAAGAGTCTTCTGCTTACCCATCACTTTTATACAGGAGGGTTGATAATGAAATGCAGTCGGATATACTTCACTCGATAAAGAATGCGACATCAAACAGCAAAAGCAAACGGTAGATGCTTCACAATGTTAGCGATTTACGGATTACGCAAAGTCTTACAATTAATTGTCATTTTTAGCTATCGAGAGAAGTTAAAACAAAAAAAGCTACAAAAAATGGCCGAAATAAAAGAAGAAATTGAAGCAAAAGATTTTGATAAAATCAAAGATAACATAAAGTTTGGCGAAGTCGTACAATCACCACCTTCTCTAAAAATATTGCCAAAGGCGAGAGAGCTTAAGCATCAGGTTTGTGTCTTATCTCAACATCAAATTAAGCCATAGAAGTAGATTATATTAGAGAGAATCTACACTATCAGGAGTTTCTTTTAATTCTCGAAACAACATGGAAACACATTTCCAGTCTCGGATTTTACTGAATTAAAACAAATCTGTATTATTTATACTTCAGAATATAATATCTACGCCAATCACAACTAAAATTACTACAGAAGTACAAGTAGATGGCGAGTGGAAGGGTCAAAAATCACACCAAAACGTGAACGCTGCGATAAGACGAATGCTTGAGAATGAAAGAGAGAAAGTAGTAGCACATTACAGAATGATAAGAGAAAAACAAAGAACACCAAACGCTCCATGAATAAACTTATTATTATGTAACCCCAAGCCTGCACGCGTCTCCTGCTGTTCCTTTTCTAATTTTGGCCAATGTTTGAAATAAAGTTGTATAACCTTTACCAGATATGGCATTCTATCATTATAGAAAACAAGGATAACGAGACCAGCAAGAGAATAACTCATTCAATTACCTTTATGCATCCTTTTGCTTTCGCCTTGATACGCGTTCAATTAATTATATTTCATAATTCTCTCGATAGTATTTACCTTAAGCAGTAATTAGATAAATAAAACTTTTGGTTTCAGGTCTAAGAGAAAAGTCTATTCTTTACCAATAAAAAAAATATTGGGCACTTCGAATTTATCACGTTGATGTAAAAAAGAAGACTGTCATGGAAACGCGAATGTAAAAATTTACTGAAGTTTATATATTATAATTACCAAGTCCTGGTAGCGACAATTTCTTCCAATTGAGCTCTGGGTCAATTCGGATGCGTGCAATGTCAATTTGATTATATAACTAGTACAAGCAACTTGTATGTCTTTACTTGGTTGCAGTTTTGGAAAAACTAATGTATTATCATTAATATTATAAAAATGGAAATTGCCAGTATCATCCGTTCAATCGATACTACTGTATAGTTTTGGTAGGATCGAAGACTAGATTACAAATTGGGAAGTCGGATGGCTTCAATCAGACTCAGATAGACATTGCTAGATAACATCATTTCATCATTGTCTAATCCGTATCTAACAAGATAGCTCCATCCAGCAAAGCCCGGAGAAAAATCCCACGGGCGCCATCTACATCTCTATCTATCCGAAGTTGACATTCACTGCATTCAAATATTTTTTTTCCTCCCAAATTCTGATTTATCCACCCACAACGACTACATGTCTTGCTTGTATATGCCTCTCCAACTA